CAATATTGAGAGTAGCCATACCAGGAGGGTAAGGGGCAGGTGGGGAAGAAAGGAGAAACCGATCACAAGGATCTACATATAACCCCCTCCCTGGGTGATGGACAACAAAAAGTGGGTGAAGGGAGACATTGGTGAGTGTAAGATATGGAAAAATAAAAATTTGTAAATTATCAAGGGTTCATGAGGGAGGGAGTGGAAAAACATGAGGAGCTGATACCAAGGGCTCAAGTAGAAAGAAAATGTGAGAATGATGATGGCAACATATGTACAAATGTGCTTGATACAATGGATGGATGGATGGATTGTGATAAGAGTTGTACGAGCCCCCAATAAAATGATTTAAAAATAAAATGCTTTTAAAAAAAAAAGATAATTTAAAAAACCAAACACCTGTTCTTTTCATCATTTGCTTTTTAGGTGGTATGTCTGAGTCCTGTAGACATAGTTTTGTCTTAGTAAAATTGTTATCGAATTTCTACTTTGTGTCTACCCACTCATTACTTTCTGAAACAGTGTTCGATTATTTAAGTTTGTAACTCATGTAAGTGAACATCCCATGTACGTTAGTCTAAAAGACGTCTCCTACCAGGAGCCCAGGTGGCGTGGCATAGTGGTTACACATGGGCCTGCTCACTGCAGTTGGGACTTGGCAAATGGATCCTGGGTTCTCAGGGTCATCCACAGCCTCTGCAAACCAAGGGCTCAGAGTTCAAGCTTGAATGCAGTTCCTTCCTCTGCTCTTGGATTTTATTATTTACAATCTTGGACCACACAAGCTGGTGTGCTCCTGTGTGGCCTTAGCAAACCCCACACTTAGATGGCTGTGTCTTAAGGCAAGACTTTAAGACCCCAGACACTATATTCTTCTGATAGCCAGGCACCATCTACTTTCTTCCCCACATTTTGCTGTAGCGCCCACAGCGTCAGTGGTCACTTCATGAACATAGTATTAAGTAAGGCAGTACTGTAAGAAAAAATTGTTCTTGATTAGAGTTTATGATTAAATGCAAGCTCAAAATCCATCTACTAACTAAAGTGTATATCTATCCCTGATCCAGTTTAGAGGCAGCATTACCAGCTTTTTGAGAAATAATTGAAGCAACCGCCATAAAACACTTGGTCATTCTAATAAAAGTATCATTAGTCAATAGTATAGCATTTAAAGTCCTACTGAGACAACCCTGTCCCCAGGGGGACGAACAACAGAAATGTGGGTGAAGAGAGACAGCAGTTGGTGTAAGATATGAAAATAATACTAATTTATAATTTATCAAAGAGTCATGGGGGGGGGGGGGGTGGGAAATGAGCTGATACCAAGGGCTCAAATAGAAAGTACTGTAAATGCTTTGAAAATGATGATGGCAACATGTACGAATACTATGCTTGATACAATTGATGTATGGAATGTTATGAGCTGTAAGAGCCCACAATAAAATGATTTTTTTTTAAAGTGCTTTTGAGAAAAGGAAATTATATCTTCAACACTCACTGCCATCAAGTCAATGCGGACTTATAGTGACTCTACAGGAGAGGGTAGAACTGCCCTCTGAGTTTTCTGAGACGGTTACTCTTTATAGGAGTAGAAAGCCTCATCTTTCTCCTGAGGAACTGCTGGTAATTTTGAACTGCTCACCTTGCAGCAAACAGCCCAACATGCAATCAGGATGCAAGCAGGGCTCCTGCAGAGAGGGTTAGCTTAAACTTTAATGTAATATCATTTGTTTTCCCTTTTTGACCTATTTTCAATTTGTTATTGTTTATATTATTTCTCTTGAATGGAGGTTTTGTTATCATTGGAATTATTTATGTTGCATATATTTTTTTCATTTAAAAGCAGTTACTGTTTTGTTTTTAATTAAAGGATCATTTTATTGGGGGCTCTTGCAGCTCTGATAACAGTCCACACATCAATTCTAGCAAGCGCATTTGTACATATGTTGCCATCATCCTTTTCTCGACATTTACTTTCTATTGAGCCCTTGTTTCAGCTCCTCTTTCCCGCCCCCTCCACCCCCACAGTTACTGTTTTATTAACTGACCAGATACAAAAAGAATCATGGCAGATACTTTAGTTTATCCTTCTAATAAACCTGTTGATCTTGTCTTCCCTGTTGCCAGCATCTCCACCTTCTACCTTGTCCAGAAGGTCATTTGAAAGGCCACAGGAAGTGATTTGGTTTTCTGAGGCATTTCCCAACAGTATAGATCTCATGAATCAGATCCTCCCTGAAGATGATGCTCAATTTACCAAGAGAATGTGCAGTCAAAGTCTCACCTTACAGGACAATACGCTTCTTACTGATTTTGGCATAACCACACTTGTAGATTGGTTCATTCACTGACTTCAGGCTTGGGCACCCCCATGCGATGCAGGGTTCCACAATCCTCCGCATGTTCATCGAAGCGAAGCCTTGTTCAACTTAACAAAGGTGCCATCAAACAGCTGGCAAAGGCCAAGAAGCTACAACACTTTCCCGACCTTTAGGCTCACACCATTGATAACTCTGATCCTTGTGGGAAACTTTGGACCGGGAAGGGTATGGACATAATTAAGAAGCCTGGGAGGCCAGGATTCTGGTGGAGGGAGGCCTTCACATTTGTGAGTTAGAGATGATTCCCAGTGACATTCTCCTGTCTAAAAATCATTCCCACAGTGTCCTTCCACAATAGTGCTACCTTCATGATATCTCTTAAAGCACATGGCTGATTACTGGGGTGTCTGCAGCCCTTAGCTATAGGAACAGACATGTTTCCATTGTTCGCCCCACTCAAGGGACTGTCAACTCCCTTCTACCTGCCCCCAGCACTGGGATCGTGTTACTCCCCCAGTGAGCCTAGGGTTAAGACACTGCCAACCTTGTGACATCTGTGATTGACTGTGAATGATGGGCCTTGCTAACCCCAAGATTACACATACCTGTTGGAGAAAACTTGTTCTTGTTTTCTCTCTCTCTCTCTCTCTCTCTCGTTCCTGACTTCATGGAAGAGGTGCGCACCCTGAACTTTTTCTCATGTCCCTTTATTCTTTCCCCTCAATTGCACAATCGCTCCATACGTCCCTCTCGGTTGAGAGCTGGACCCCTCTCGGTTGAGAGCTGGACCCACAGATCCTGGTAACAAACGCCAGCTTGGGTTCTCCAGCACATAGAAGCGGCCAGCTTTTCTTGCCATCTGAGCCATTCGAATTTCAGTCCTGTCCATCTGCCTATATTCCTTGTGATGGGGCTCAGCTTTCTCATGGATAAGCTTCATCATCCTTGCCTTGAAGCATCTTTTAGGCAAACTTTCTCAGGCGCTTGATCTTCAGTTCTGTGAAATTCCTTTGCTTTATCTTAAGGGTCTCTGGAACAGCAAGGGCCTTCTTTTTCTTCTCTGCAACACCCTCCATGGTCCCAGCCGACTTAACCACAAAAACACCTGTGTGATTTTCCTTATATGAAATCCAGGATTGGTGAATCTGTAGAAAGAGTGACTAGATTAATAGTATCTAAGGGTTATTATGGGGGATAAGAGGGGAAACTAATAATGGGTACAAGAATGAATTGTGTTCTAAAATCGATTATGGTAATGATTGCACAACTCTCTTTAATACATTTAAATCATTGAATGCATGGTGTGTAAGTTACATGTCAATAAAATTGTTTTGTGGGGAGGGAAGAATAAAACAGGAGCTGATACCAAGGGCTCTAATAGGAAGTAAATGTCTAGAAAATAATGATGGCAACATATGTACAAATATGCCTGATACAATTGATGTATGCATTGTTATCAGAGCTGTAGGAGCCCCCAATAAAATGATCTTTTAACTAAAACACAACAAAACAAAAATCTTTTAAAGGAAAGTGTTCCCTGGGA